GGGGGTGTGGCGCTAGGACAATTCGTCGCACGGACAATTAGTCGTCAGACAATTCGTCGCATAGACAGTTCGTCGCATGGACAGTTCGTCGCATGGACAATTCGTCGCATACGTAATTAATTCATATAATGAACTTATGTCCCTTTTCTTAATTGACTTAAGTGAATTTGTTTTTCAATTAATGAATAAATATTGATTTTTGAATAACTGTGTTATCATTCGAAAGCCAAATCCAATTTTCTAATACGATTTTGAGAAGATTGAGAAAAATCAATTAATCTAAAGATTTAATATAAAAGATTCCAAAAACAGAATAATGTCACTCAATATAGATAGAATTATTTTTTTTGTTTTTCTGTGTTAATTTTTGTTTCTCTTGAATAAAATTATTTATCATTCATAATTAAGTGACTCTCTATCGATAAAAATTTGTCTTACATACATATTAATTTTTTTACAATTAATTACGTGTGCGACGAATTGTCCGTGCAACGAATTTTTCATGCGACGAATTGTCCGACGACGAACTGTCTGTGCGACGAATAGTCTGCGACGAATTGTCCGCGACGAATTGTCCAGTCACCGTGGGTGTGGGTGTGGATGCTCTGTTCTTCCCTACCCACACCCACACCACACCCACACCCACACCCCACACCCACACCCACACCCACACCCCACACCCACACCCACACCCACACCCACATCCACACCCACATCCACACCCACATCCACACCCACACCCACACCCACACCCACACCCACACCCCACACCCACACCCTTATCGATGGTACTTATATTGATAATGAAATTCTTACTCATATGCTACGACTTCATATATTTAACTCTTGTTTTTGTACTGACATCGAAATGGATCGTTTAGTTTGTCATTTATATAAAGATGATATTCAATGAACTTTTACTAACATTATATATGAACAAGTAGCATGTATTGTAAACTACAAATATCGTAGAGTATCATGTGTCATGTCTTTTCATTCCCATTCATATTTGATGATCTCGAATTTATTAGTAATAATACATTTCCAACTATTATTTTCAATTGTGTTAAAAGATTGGTGATGTACGATAATGTTTCATGGAAACATGAATTTTTCATTTGAATTAATTTGTCTTTTCCTTTACTTAAACAACTGTATGTTATTAATCATAACATTACAATCATCAATATCAGAGAAATTGAACTCTATTAATAATAAACAATTGTATTTAATTGTTAATTATCCTTATTTTATTTCGCTTCGTATTAAGATTGTTCATATGGATTATGTCGAATATATCTTGTAACTTTTCTAGAATTACCGATACCTGTTACCTGTAGCTTCTCAAGAACTACCTGGAGATTGTATCTGTGACTTTTCAAGAGCAGCTACCTGAGTATGTCACGCATGTGAATGTTGATAGATGAATGTGGTCTGTGAATTTAGGCATATGTGAGTGTAGGTCTAGGTTTGAATCTGAATGGGATCAGCTGTCAGTGTTGGTGATGATAAGATACACATCAACAAATCTCATATAAGTCAGACTTCAAATTTGAATTCAACTTTCAAGTTTGATACTATTGGTTTCTTTCAGGAAACTTATATAGAATTTATTATTTTAACGTATTAAAATATAATAAACGTGTATCAATAATATAAGTATTTTATCAATAAGAATTTTATTCGACTAACAGTAGCATTTATTACTTTGTTGTTTATACAAAAAAAACTGATATGATATTGAAAAAGAAAATGTTTATCGTATTAATCAATTTATTATAGTACAATAATTGTCAATGTTACATTAAATTATATATTATACATATTTACATATGAAAAAATAATGATATTGTTTCTAGTTAATTAACACGTCACTTTCATGAAACACAATTAATCTTGATGTTTTTCTTCCTTGTTATGAATATTATTAACACTATGATCATTCTTTTTTTTTGATAACCAATTGTTAAATTTTAACCATTGATTCTTCACATATTCATCGAAATTTAGCAATAAATATTGACCAATAATCATAACAAAACCGAATAAAATTAAAATACATTCCAACAATTGAAGAGTCCATTCATTATTATGAAGTTGATATAAAATATGAATGTCGACATTATTCCCATTACTATAATTGCCAATCGATATGCATTATATAAGCCACAGAGCAAATAGATATCATATAATATTGATAAAATCACCACTATTTTTCCTAATTTTAATGAAAACTTATAATGATGACATAGTTCAACTTTTGGAAAAGTTGAAAATTCTGGATATTCATTGATAAGTTGAGAACAATTTGATCTGATGTATTCGAATATTTTCGATTTATTTTGTTTAATTGGATCTAAATGCAACATGGCCCAATCCAGCTGTTGTGAATGTCCATCAAATATTCCTATTGAAAACAAAGCCATTAATGCTATTAATATATTGACCAAAATTAGGATTAGATATGAAACAGTAGACAATCGTTCAGACATGAATCTACAATTGAAAGAAAAGTATCTAATAAAGAAGAATCATGTTATATATTAACTTTATACTTTAAGTTAAATAACGACGTACTTTTTGAATCAAGTGAAGCAAAACGAATGAAGAGCTTATTGTATAAAACAACAAATTTATATTCAAGAAGAGAAAGGAAACAAAAACAACAATGATCGTCTTTCTTAGAAGATGAATACAGAAAACAAAGAAAAGAAAAGAAAAGATGTTCTTAAGTTAAAATGAAAAGAAGATGAGTCAATGTATTGACGAAAGACGAAATAGACGCACAGATAGAAGAGAAGAAGAAGAAGAAGAAGAAGAAAAGATGACGTCACACATCTATGTGTGTATATTGATTGAGTAGAGGAATAGGCGTTTATTTTGTAATACTTTAAATAAATACATTTTTTCATATGAATCAATTAAACAAATCAAATGCACAAAAAACAATTGCACCGTGATGTAAGGATAAATCAATATATATGTATGTATTTTCCTAGTGAAGGTACTCATACAATAGTACTCAAAAAGTACTCACCCTAGAAAATGTCACAAGTGCTCGTGAGTAGTGATGGGGTTTGAGTACTCCTCAGTAGTACTCGTGTTAAGATCTAAGTATCTGAGTACGCCTATCGAGTACGCGTTCTGTAAAATCAAGTATTTTGTGGGTAGTTATTATACATTTTCTGTGTACTCTGGTTGGTTTTTTGTAAAATACTCATTGACGTATACTTTGTTCAACATTGTTATACTATGTTATTTTTTTCATTAAACTGTTAGCAATGAAGCACAATTGTACATTATGAAAATCTGAGAGATGAAGGTGGTACATTGTTTTTATTTTTTTAGTTAGAGCACAGAGATAGACTTTTTATCTTTAAGAAACAGCATATAAAAACACGTATTAAAGATGGTCTAAAATTATTCAAGACAGGGTGGTGTGGGTGGGTGTGGGTGTTGGTGTGGACAATGTCTTAAACAAAACCCACACCCCAAAACCGATTTTATTGATTCCATCATAAGATTTCATTCCTGCAGTTGAACGAATGTTTTCTGACTTTCTCTTTTTGAAATTATTGCCAGAGAAAGTGAGAACTTTTGATGCATACATCGAGAGGGAAGAAACGGAAAAACTTATGACACAATGCGCATCAACTGCGGATTTCACTTCGATTTGCTTTGATCACTCCATTCTCTCTAGATGAAGAAAATATTTTCACTACCATATTTGAGCATGATTCAGATATGTCAAAAATCGAGCACTCATGAAGCTTTTTACTCAAAAAAGATTGAATAATAACACGATCGGTGAGGAACTGGTGAGTAACCATGACAAATCTTCTTCATCATCCCGCACATGTGAGTCTGATTAATGGCTTCGGTACAATTCAGCTCTTTTCGAATAAAAAGTTTCATGAATGCACGATATCTGACATGTCTGAATCATTTCCAGACACAGTAGTGAAAGAATGTGGATGAGGTTACGAAAAGAAAGCCCATACACGCACCATTCTAACCATAAAAATCGAAATTATCATCTGTTGTTCCTATTTTTCACTTCATCTCAATCGAAATAAGATCGACATCGATTCATATAACTATTTCTAATTTGCATACTAGCTCTTATCTATCTTCTCAAGCATTTTTTAAATTTTCATGCTATAGCGTTTCATTTTATTTGTTTACTTATAGCTTGGAGTGAATATTCCGCTCAATTCTCTCTTACGATATGCTAAGTACATCTGAATCTTAACGTGGCACTCCTTTTCTGGAGGGTATGGGTGTGAGTATGGCGTGTGGGTGTGGATGGGTGGAGTGGGATGTGGGTGAATATGAAATGATGTTGACTTTTTTTGTCACATCCATACTTACGCCAGCACCTATACTTAACATCTACATTCACACGCAACCCCCACACTGACATCGACACCCACACCCTAATATGGGTGTGGGTGGGTGAATCTGAGTGTGGATGTGATTTTTCATGAGT